TGTTGATTTGCTCGCGCTCACTGCAACTCAGGCCACGTCTGACACGCAATAATGGCACATTATGCATTATGTCAACGACAAATCACAAAGGCACTGCCACATCTGCCGCGTAAACCTGTCACGGTTGTTTCAGGAACCACGAACAACCTCATCAAAGTAGCAGGACTGCTATTCACTCTGTTTGATCAACTTAAAGTTCGTCAACAAGTAGCAGATTGTACGGCAGGGGCGACAAACATGACACTCTCTTGCACATTCCAAGTCAAAGTCTGCGCCCCGGAGCGTGAATCCTACAGAATGTGCCACCTCGAAAAACAGTAGTCTTGTGCAGTGATGAAGCACCAGCACCAGGCTCGCATTCATTTTGTGAGCTGACAATAAGCAGAGCGCTTCAACCGAAGACGCTGGAAACAGAACTGCCAATGGCAGGGATCGATATGGCAACTGTGCCCTCATGCAAACTCTTTTTCCAAAGCTGGGGTACAAGCGTTCGCGCGCACACGTGGCGACCAGTCAGCACAACCCCTTGTAACACGGACCACCTCCAAACACCGTGTGTTAAAAGAACTTCATTTTGGTTAAACGTGCAGCACTCTTTCTGCCAAAGCACGGCAGACCATCTGAAGCAAGTCCTTCAGCTGCGACATGGGCGGCTTGAAGTCCATCTTAACTTCCTCGGCTGAGCAGCGGAAGGTGTTGTGGGGGAAACAAAATCAACATCAACAATTAACCCAATCCGGTATGTCGGGTATTTTGGGGGAAGGGTATTTTGGGTATTTTGGGGGAAACCCAATCCAGCTACTTCCCAAAGGCAGGATCCACGGCTCGCAAGCCGTGTTGTTATCTGACCAGATTCCTCATGGCTGTACTTTCATGGAGGAAACTTATAGGCTGCCACCTGACTGACACATGCTATCGCCTAGCAAGGGCGGCAAGATGATTTGAAGGCACTTGGGCGACGTTTTTCAGCTTGGAGAGAAGAAGCTGAAAGGGCAGTCTTTCTTGGTGCGCACAAAGCTCTTGGTAGGCTTGCGTTGCAAGACGACCAGAGCAAGCGAAGACTGGCAAATCTGAGCCAGAACAGCTGAACCAAAATCCGTCAAGTCGGACAACGCAGTGAAGGTGCTAACCTTTTAAGGCCGTTCTGGGGGGGTGTCTGTAAAAACGTGTCCCTACAAACTGTTGGTCTTCTGTTGATTGCCCAACCTGTAGATCCGCTATTTTTTTCACACGCTCAGGCGCTAGCCAACAAAGCTGCAACGACAAATCGGCCTTGACTCAATGAACAAGTTCCGCAGTCAACCTCCGCGACGCGGAGGGTTCGCAGCCGAGGTGCATCCAGGACAGCTTGGATCTTGAAGAGCGGGGACGGTTCCGTCTTGGTGTCACCTGCCACCGGATGCTGATATGGTTGAATTGGTTCAAAAGGGAGCCCAAGATCAAACCCGCAGTTTGGACGGGATGCTAGTGACAGACTAGCAAACAATGACCTGTTGACTCATGTCTGTTTTCCTCTCAAACGGGAATCGGATGCCTCTGCGTTAACGTGACTTGAAACGTCAAATGGCTGACAACCACATCGAATGGCCAATACAATGATTTGCCTGTCCGATTCTAACTGATCAATTGACGAGCAATTTTGGCTCTACAGTATCCAACCGATGCCATACCCGTTCTGTTCTTCCACAAGCAAGCATGTCTGGAAGAGAAACATGGCGAGGTCATGCCAACCCCGCCGTCTGATGCGATTGATGCCAAATTGGACCACAATGGCCTCTTCTGAAAAAAAGGCGCGTGTAAAATAATGAACACCAATTTGTAGCGGTTGCAAAGTGAGGAGGAACTGGGGAATCACATTCCATACCAATCGGTGGCAAGGCATTACATACCAAGCGGTGAATCAGTGGCCGGCCGGTCACAATCGTCCAAGCTTTCAGCTGCATGAGAGCAAGAACATGTTGTTCTGTTGTTCTGCCCGCTGCGTGGGGAGTATGTTGCTTTTGTTCATTGGACAGTGCATCAAATGCTTTGACAAGTTTTGACATGACAAGAAGTGTCACATCGGCAGGCCCTGTCCCTGCAGTGATACTCTTCACGTCTGACTCCCCACTGTGACGCGCCAATCAATCGCCAGAAAGACGCCTCCCATGGGCCTTGACCCACTTGCCCGGTGAAGCCACTTTGGTTGCCGGGGGGGGGGAACCAACTTTGATCAAACAAAAATTGAGCTGTCCTCAGATCCCCCGCTAAAGTTTAACTTTTCGTGGGCCAAATGGAAAACCCCACTAAACACTAAAAAGCTAAAAAGCAAAGGAACCGGGTGGCTGGGAGCCACCAAGAAAACAACTGCGTAGGGGTGCCAGTGAACTGCGAATCGTTGGAGCCGTGAGCCAAGGTGCCGTTCAGGGCCTTGCACAGATCCTGCAGGCTCGCCTTCACAGCCTGGCTCCAGAGCTGACATGGGAAACTGGCATCATCTTCCACCTGCCTAAGCCCAATGGAAAAAAATAGACATATGTCCAGTAGTGATAGATTCCCTTTAAAATCAACAGAGCAGGAAGGTATAACATATTCTTAAGCAAATGGAATTCATACGCCAAATAGACGCTACATGTAGCACGTGAAGTGGCCTAAAACCAGGCAAAGGCTCAGAACGGGCCCAGTGATGCCTTCAGAACCATGGCAAAGGCTCCGGTCAACCTGTGAAGTCAGTGGCCTCACTGTCCGAGATAAACACAGGGGTCGATGGGCTGAAGGCTTCCTTCAGATCATCTGTCTGTAAAATGTCTGGTAGGACTTGGAAACTGCGGTATGTCTGGTAGGACTTGGAAACTGCGGTTTCGGAACAGATTCATAATGGGAAGTTGCAACAGAATCTGTGGAACCTATAGTGACTGACATGACTGTGCGCATGTCAGATTCGTGCATCTTTTCAATTGCGTTGTCCAAAGCCCCGCAAATGCATCCGTCAAGACATGGAAGTCAGAATCAGCAAATATTGCCAAAAGCGGTTTTCAGCTACGTCTGGCCATCAATGGAGCTGGTGCTCTTCATTCGGGATTAGAAAAGCACTAGGTTCTAGATTCCATTTTTGCTGCGACCCTGGAAAGGCAAGGCACGAAACATCGGCAAAAGCCAGCTGACACCTGCCCAAGGTGGGAACCCTTCCACCTGGAACAATTGTTCGATTCACAAAAAAGGAACTGAGGACTCCCAAGCAACGGGGCAACAAAAACAACAACAAAAACATAACAAACGGTGAGTTCGTTGCACCCCCCGAATTCGGTGGGCTCCAAGCCGTCCCCGAGGGGATTTTTTTGCTGACACGCATGCTGACACGAGCGGCGAAGACTTGGGCCTTCTTCAAGGCCTCCTCGATCCTCTTGTCCACCTCGAGAACAAAGCGATGTGGAAGCCCACTCGTCAAGGTAAACCACTCGAAGGGTTGCCAGGGGCAACTGGTCACCTTCCAGTTGCTTGAGGAAATATCAACAAGAGCAAACTTCCTAAACCAAACCAATAGGTGCGCAGCAACCAAAGGTCAAGTGTTCGAAGAGTTTCGCCGGGCGCGGTAAATATGCTCGCCTTGTCGATATAGCTCTTCCACTCCCGCTGGATGTCAGGGGGATGGGACTCGAAGAAGGTGTAGGAGCTTAGCATCAGCTCGGTGATCTTGTGCAAAGACTGAGCAGTGGAAGGCTCGCGGGGTCAATCGTCGTCGGTTGAGGCTGACTTGGCAAGGATACACGCATTGGATTGATTGTGCCTGGACTCAGACTACCGATGAAAAAAGGGAAGTCACCCCGATACATTTGGGGCAATAACCCCAGGTAGATTCTACTTCACCAAACTGAAATTAAGTTCATGGGGTCGCCTTCACCCCGGGTGAGTCGATTCGAGTTGCCCTCTGTTGACAGGTGAAACATGGCACCTTCGCAGCTTAGGGATGGAGCGACCCTACCAGTCCGGGCAAAGCTGCGCAGGATTTCCTGCCTAAAGATGCACCCCTGCAAATTCACCTAACCAAACAAAAAGACATCATGGTCAACGGAATCTCATTTAGGGTTTGGGGGGACTCCTTTGTTCAGCTCCGTGCAGATGCAAGCGACAAGTTGGTCAAACACATCTCTCCTGCCCGTGCCTTGCTAAACTCTTGCCTCACCTCCTCCCGCCGACGCTCCTGCAACGAATGACGCGCTCCAGGGAGTCACGGAAATTCGTCAGAAGCAAGGAGAACATAATTATGCCATGGGAGAGAATATGTTTGGGGTGGAAAAAGCAAACCCCTCACTCTTGCCGTGTCAATCCAGTGCAACATTGTTTTGGAGCACACTATCCACACGATAGGTGGGCACTCCAGACCAATGATGTGTGGTCATGCGCCGACACGTCAAGTGTTGCCCTGCAGGGTCAAACATGTCCAGCAAAAAAGGCAAACAGCCGCGCAAAGAGAGGGAGACGCAAACACCCACCGCTCCTGCACATCTCGGAACTCATCATCTCTGTGCACGGTCTTCTTCTCGATTTTGATCATATGGAGGTCAGACAGCTTCTTGCAAACCTGTCATCATGCATTCTGGGTAAAGTACAGAGAGCAACTTGTTCCTCCGGATATCAGGCTGTTCCCAGAACACCTTCGTCGTGTTGTGTTAGGAGGGAAAAACACAGCCCTAACAACCATTCTGTTGTTTGCTGCTAAAAAACGAGCTCAACAGAAGTGAACTCTGATTTTGCGACTTGGGACTTGGCACGACGTAAAGGATACACTCGTGCATCGCGAACGCCTTGCAGACTCCAAGCAACACGCATCACACCCACAAGATCACCTAAGGTCAAAAGCCCGCTTAGCCCCCAGTGAACATCCAATCCCCACTAAAATAGGTTCTAGAATGGGTGGTGCACCTACCCAAAATGGTAGCATTGGTGTTGACCCACGGCCATTTAAACGCACTGAGGTCCACGGCGTGCACGGCGGCTTGCAGGGGTTTGAACAATGGGCGCAAACAGCTACCGCCACAATGACTGAAGGCTTGCGGCCAAGAAAACAAATCCGCACAACGTGTCTGACCAAAAGGCTGTACAACAGATTCGGGAAAAGCATTTCAACCGAAATCTATCAGAGATGGCAGGCGGAAAGCGCCGTCACATTCACATCTTGTAATAACATGATTTAAAGGTCGCAGAAAGTGGTTCAAGGCCTCGATTTTATCACCAGGCATGTCACAACCGCAAACAGCCTGCAAGATCTCCGTGTTGTTCCGCTTAAACTGCTTCACCCAGTCGTAGACTTTGGCACACTCCTCTGAAGGCATGGCACGGACGACAGGCAGCTTGGCGCTGCTTGCAAGAAACAACTGCATGCTTCTGTGTGACATGTTTGGCATTCCCGAAAAAAACACGTTTCTTTCTGGGGGCCTTCAAATTATTGAGTAAAGTAGGCCAAAAGGACCACCTTGCATCGCTCTAACGTTCTGATCGCATTGTCAAAGCGTTGGAGTCCGCATGCCGGGCTCCTTGCAACTGTCGCGGACAAAGAACTCCTTGATGCCGTCGGAGGTCCAGTTGAACCTTCAAGAGAAAATAGGGGAAAGTGTTGGAACAATCGTAAAATGCTTGGTTTACTCTTGGTTTCATCAACCAAATACCAGCCAAAAGAGGGTCAAGTTTGAAAAACCTCCCAGTTACTTCCATTTGTTTAAGCCCCGTGGAAAAACCAAACAATGACCAGCAGTGATAGTTTCCCTATAAAAATCAACAGGGTTTAAAAAAGGCAAATGGAAGGAACACACACACACACATGTGCACAGGAGGAAACACCGATACTGCCTTCCGCAATCGCCAGCCACTCATCCATATATAGCAGAAGTCAACTAAGAATGCAAGTCAATTGAAGTCCTTGTGAGAATGAGCATGAAACTTGAAAAGGAGTATTCTTTGTAATAATCACCATATTGAAAATTTCCACGTAAAGTGAGGGCATCACAAGTCAAGGACCTTCACCAGCTCGCTTTACCAAATGACGTCGGCCAGCCCTCTGCGGCTGGAGGCGCTTGGAGAGCCCAGGCCCGATCTTCCGGTCCAGTGTCCGGATGTGGTGGTTGAAGAGCCGCCTCGAACCGATCCATCCGATCGGCGGAAAAACGCAAACACAGACTGGGTGGAGCTTTCGGGGTTGTTCAACAGCGTTCGGTCTCAAGCAAAATAGCCACGGTAGAATTCCACATTTTTTTGCATTCGCCAGCTGTTTGCGCTGCAGCTTTGGCAGAAGTTCCCCGATTGCTGCAGACAAAGCCGACTCAGCAATCCTCTTGCTTTAACTTCCCCACAGCTTTTGCTGGGAAAGTTTGAAACAGCATTCTTTCTTATTCTGTGGACAAGAAACACTAGACCCCTGCGCATACAGTACGTCAAAGGCTGGAGGTTTGCACCAAATAAGAAAGACGTAAAACAACCACATCTCAGATGCCCAGTGGCCATGGGAAAAAAGCGGCATCCTTTTTGGTTGGCTGAGTTTAAAGGGGAACCTTTCCCAAAAAAGACAAAAGGCGCCACCGGCCAACTCGGACATAGATCCCATCTCCATTCCAAGGCACCGCTCTTCGGGAAGAAGTGCCGTCCTGGGCCCAGAGTGCGCCGGGTGGGATTAACACACGTGGGACCGGACTCAGGAGACGCGAGATTTGGGAAATTCGGAGCGTGCATTGTTTGCTGTCTGCACCATTTGTGGACAATCCATATGGGGGATCTTGAAGGGCTAGAAAATTGAGAAACCTCTATGACATGCCATCATGCAATGCTTTGGCCAATTGTCTTGCACATGGGAAACAACCGCTGAACAGCCTGGTTGACATGCAAGTTGTGCTGCATCTGGCCCCTTTGACGTAAACAAAACTGCACTCGGCAACTGATCTAACAGCTCCTTGGTCAATTCCTGAGCTCTCAGAATTCGCTTGGCATGTAAGCCCTTGCGCTTCGAACAGGCGGAAACTTAGGCATGCAGTGGAGGAACTCCAGCGCAATGCTGATCAAGTAGAAATGCCCAGCCCAAGCTAAGCAGGCGACATGATCTGATTGTAGTCGCGTACCTGCAGTTGCAAGTGTGCACTGGCATGTCAACTGATGCTTCATCACATGCGCCTCCACTTTTGTTCAGTCAGCAAACTCACACTATGACAAGCAGCTAGTGGCGCAAAGAAGCCTTGCCAGAAAACACTTCCTGCTATGACACATGTTGGCCCAAGAGGATTGCTTTTAAGCTCTGCGGCTAGACTGTCTCAGTCGCATGCAACACTCCAGACAACATGCAACATATGTTGCGTGTCAGAGTCGATATCAAATCAAAGACAGGGTGAGTCTCAAAAAACCCACATCCAGCGCTTCATGCGTGAGACTGGATGGAATGCAGAAGAAAAGGCGGCAAGCCATCGCATCTTGGTGTATTGCTTGGACAGATTATGTGAATCATAACTTGCCTTCAGGCCTTTGATTTTCAGAAATATTTTATGACAGGTAGTGGATAGCTGGTGAGTAAGTAAAGAAGTTACGGAAACATCAAGGCTGAGGTCACACATGGCGATGTCTCAAAATTAGGAAACCCTGATGTCTTTCAGAGGGTGCCTTTAGACAAATCAGCATCCTTGACGTCAGAAGCTGCCATCCAGCAAATTATAGGCTATTGAAGCTCCGTTGGAAGGCACTCTCACTCACACGTGCGCCCGCAAGCATGCACGCCAAGCATGCACACCCACAAGTGAAGCTAGAGGAAACGTGGGAAGTGAGACCAACCTGTATTTTAAGCAAACATGCCAGTCCCTCTTCTCAGCAGACACCAAAGCCAATTCAGCCCAAAGCGGAAACAACGATCAACACGGTGACATCAAACACAGCGGTATCAGCAATTCAACACAGCGCGGTGGGCGAACACCTGGCAAATGCCACTGGGCACTCACGGCAAGTGACGGGCCCAGGTATGAGTCACCCACCGCAGCCGAACAGCAGATCCTCGCACCCCTGGTATCAGAAAAATAATTGGACACACCACAAAGTCACAAAGCAACTTCAAACAAGAAGCAGCAACAAAAACAAAAACGCTCCAACAAAACAACAAAACAAAACACTTCTACCAAAAAAACCTACAAAACCTACAAAAACTACAAACAAACAAAACATAAAACCTACAAAAAACAACATACATCCACGCACCATTCGGATGCCGGCCGTCTCCGAGGCCGCGGCCACCCGCAGCACGTGCTCCCGCAGGATCCGGAGCTTGTCGCGGTGCCCCGCCAACTCGTGGGCCGAGTAGGGCACCACCTCAGTGACGACGGGGGTGGTCAATCGCCGGTACCGACAGTCGAGGGTTGGGTGGGGGGGGTTGGGGGGTTGGGGGGTTAGGTAGGTTGGGTTGGGTTAGGTTGGGTTAGGTAGGGTTAGGGTTGTAGCTTCCATTCCCATTCTTGGGAACCTTCTAGGGGCTTCCATTTGAACCTTCTTTTTTACCCCGCACCATCTCTAGTTTCCATCAAGCTTCCATTTTCGAGGGGTACCTCCCCCATTCTTAACCCAGGGATCCTTCTTCTTTCTAGAAAAAATCCAGAAACCCGGGGGAAAACGGCTGGTGGTGGTTTTAGTCGGACGGGTGGTCAATCGTTGTCAATCACTGGTAACCTCAAAATGGGAAAAAGGTTGCCTGGGTAAGAAAAGGAACAAAACCACCTCAGTCAGACGGGTATGTTGGTCAAACATCGTTGGTAGCCCCCAAAATGGGTTGGGCTGACCAGGGAAAGGTTGAAACAAAAACCTGCGGAATTTTGTGATTTTGACATCGGATGGAAACCTCTGGCTGGAGCCTCAGAGTGTTGTGTTTAGGATGATGCGATGAGGATAGTCAAATTCATTTGGCGCCTAAACAAGACTCAAACACGTCGCTGGATCCTCGAGGTTCTATGTTGGACTGAAAAAGGGGATCAACACAAGACCAGGGTCACTTGGGGGTCCAACTTGTGCACTTCCGCTGGGCGGGCAAGCTGGCGGGTTAACCTGGGGACACCTCCGGATTGATGTCATGTCGGTTTCCAATACAAGGCGCTTCTTATTGCATATTGGGTAAACCAAGAATGGGCCGCCTATCAGGACGGGGAGGAGGCCGATGCTGCAGGCTCGCCACGATACCACTGCCCTGAATCTTCTCCCAGTAATAGACCTGCGGCTCAAGTCGGGTAGCCAACATCAGTTTGGGCGAAGGACAACACAATAACAACTATTCAGCAGTCAAAGGGTGCCAAGCTCTCATCTTGGCTCAATTTGTTTTCATGTTTGGACAACAACCACATTGCTTTCCATCTAGTTGCTCTGAAAAAGTGATGATCTTTCAGGTTCCCGACCCAAACAAGTCACAAGCGCACGGCGAATTCGTGGGGGGTCGACCTGAAACATCTGGTGTTTTTTGGTTTCTGCGTGCTCTACTTGGCTCGCGCAACCGGGTTCGCATGGTGGTCCCCGTCCTCCTGAAACATCTTGAGCAGCTCCTTGTCGAAGTTGCACTCCAGGAGGGACACCTTGAACTTGCTCGTGGACTCCTCCGGACTTCTTTTCTTTCGTGGGAAACCTGCTCCAACGGAACGCCGGTCTAAGCCGGGGGTTTCCAACGCCCCCTTGAAATCACCCGTTGAGATTCCGCCGGCATCGAAGCCTTGCCCCAAAGGCTTCCGGGCCCGTCCCCGTCCCCGTCCCCACTCCGAAGGAAGAAAAACCCGCGGCCAGCCACGGAGCTCGTCTTCCCGTCCTCGGGCTTCACCAGCAAGTTGACCTGACAGAACCGGACCGACTGCTCCGAACGTTTCAGAATCAAAGACATGGTGCTAAGGTAAAACGGCGAAACAAACATCCAAAAGGTAAAGCAGGTGAGCCAAGGCAATTGTTAGTAGGGTTTGTCTTGCAACTTATCTGACCAATTTGTGATGCCGCACATACCAAAAGTAAGACATACCTGGGGAGCCTCCATCACGGCACAAAGTGTCACCTCTGGGTGAGTTTGTTCTCATACAAATTAGTATCATGCCAAAATCAAATTGCCTGACATGTGATCCTATTTGCTCCAGTAGATGTTGGTAAATCTTGACCCTTGATATCCAAACTTAGTTCTCTAAGCTTCAGCAATTTTCTGATGTAAGAAGGTCCTTGTCGCCGTAGCCGAGCATATGACCCGCGGACAATATGTTTTTGTTTTTCCCCCCCAAAGGCATGGACATATTGGGCTGGCGACATGTTCGTTGATTGATCATCTGCCTTGAATCTGATGAGAAGTGTCGGTCTTCTTGCAGTATGTGACACAGTGCATGGCTCTCTCCTCCCATTCGCGAACTCGCCTGGAGCCTCTTGGAGAGATTCTGGTCGTCCATGCCTGAGTCACTCCAGCAACCACGGAATCGAAAGTGCCCCTACCTTTCTCCAGAACCTGAAAAGAGCGGCACAAGGTTACCCCTCTTTCCCCTACCTAAAGGCCAACCTTGGGGAAAGAGCGGCCCAAGAATCGAAAGAACCTATGGCCCCCCTTTTTCCCCAAGGTTCATGGACCTCTTGTGCCGCGCCAGAGACTTCTCCACTTGGTTGCTGTTGACCCCTCTGCAAAAAGCTTCATTGTTTGTGGGTTTGGTGGAAAACCCAACTTGATTTCAACCAAAAAGTTGAAGTCTCAAGATGTCTCAAGATCCAACCCAGCCGTCAAGTCCACATGGCCGCCGCATTCAGCCTAAGCCTGCGGCTCTTCAGCTCTCCCACCCAGTCTTGGAAGGTGCTCAGCACGAAGGTCTGCGCAGCGGTGGTCAGACCCAAAAAGCGTAACAAGGGCCCGGAACGGTTCGCGTTGGGACCGTCCCCATGGCCGAAAAAGATCAACCCAAAACAGAACCTACCCCAAGCCATCCAAACCCCTCAAACCCCGCAAACAACCGCCCCCCCCCCCACTCCAGAGAAAGAACAGAAAAAGATCGACGCCAAAAGATTCTCCGCAGGAGCCCTACCCGGACTACGGCCAAGACTGCCTGTACTAGGGTTCCAATAAAAAGGGTTCCAATAGACCTCAACTACATCCCCCAACAAATACCTCCATCCCAAAGGGAAGCTTTCGAAGCTTGCTTCCCAGGTGAAACCCCCAGATTGGCCAAGGGAGAAAGTGCCCAGTGACCACGGGAAACAAATGCAACCCTTTAAAGGACTAGTGAGTGTTGGTCGAGAACTTAGCGGATCATGGTCCACCAGACATCGAGCTACGAACCTTCCGAGCAAGGCCACGGCTCAGCGCGTGCCAAGCATTCGGGCGCCTCCATGTTCCCGTGAACAGTGCTGAAGGTGTCCCGGCAGCTCTCTTGCTCTCGGCCTTGGCCGGAGATTCCCAGTCGAAACGTGGAAGCAGCGTCCACGACCCGAAGGTCATGAGACAGACCATTCCCCTTCTGGGTGGCTCTCATCTGGCTGAGATCAAGCTAAAGGAGGGGGATCACCAGCCAAGGGAAGCTTAGGCGAAACAACTGGGACTGGCCACGGCACGAATCTCTATGTATTGAGAATTGAGCTGTATTTGTTTTTCGTGGTGTGGGGCTGCACCTGGAGCCTACGCCGGGCTTCAAGACGGTCGCTTCGCGGAGCTTCGCGGACGTATTTGAGAATATCGCCGAATACTCTTAGGCGCCCATTCGCGAGAGGCTTCGGTTTGACCCATGCGCGGCACAGAAGGTGTTTTTTAAGTGCCGGCGCAGATCTTTCGGAAAAGAACCCTTCGAAGCGAAATCCTTCATCCGAAAACAAGAAGGCTGCTCATTGGGGACTGGCGTCGAAGTCCATTTGCTTCAAGTCAGCTGCGCCTTCGAGCTTAGCCCTAAGGCTGAATAAGAGACCGCCCCCCCCCCAAAAAAAACAAGCTCAACCTCTGGTCTTGTTTTTGTTTGTTTCACCAAAGGTTCAAAGAGGCCCCTCTGCATGTAACATGATTGAAACCTGAAAGGAGCTTCAACCTTGTTCCCTGCCTTAACTCACCAAAGTTGAGTCCATAGCCTCCAAGTGCCAAAAACCCAATCTGAGATTCGGACACCACTCCAGGTAGCACAGCTGATCGAGCTCGGCCTGGCGGGCCGAAAAAATCCGCACGCGCCCTCTTGTCTGCCACCCCCGTCCTTTGGGATTCGGACAAAACTACTTGCGAAAGGATTGGACCGGTTTAGTTTCGAAATTCATAGTGGTTTTGGGATTCGGAAAGACTACTTCATCCGAAAGGATTCGACTGGTTTAGTTCCGAAATTCATAGTGTTCTGGGCAAATTGCAACAATCGACTCACCGGCAAACAAAAACAAATGGACTGCAAAGAAAGGACCAGAACCATCATGCGTGTTCGGTCGCACCACCCCTGGGTGGCAAACTTGGTGAGCTCGGAAACGCGGGAGGGGCGGGGGGGGGCTAGTTGGAGGTAGGAAAGAAACAAATACCGCCAGAGGCCGACATGTGCACTTTTTGTAGATGTTGAAAGGAGGCAGGAGACAAAAATGAGATGAGACCAACCGTAAAAGGGGCAAAGAGGGTCACACTGCTCACCATAAAGCGCAGGGCAAACTAGCAAAACGATGTTGTTTCACTCATTGCCCCAAGTTTGGCTTATCTGGTTCTTCCGAAGCGGTCTGCACATGAAATGGACAACCCGCCAAGTGTGGCTGGCCAAACTGGCAACATATCATTATCACTCCAAGAAAAACAACAACATGATAGTAGCATTTTCCCGAAAACTACTCCTGGCCGTGATTGTTTAAGCCAGCTTAAAGCATTCACCATGGCCGTTGGGAACATCTGGGATGGAAAACCACATTGTGTTCAAAAGTGCGCAGGCACAAAGGTCGGCTAGTTCTTAGACAGAGGCATCTAACCCCCAAGCGAAAAAATGTAAGGTCCGGGCAAACAATTCACTACGACACAGTCGTACGAAGCTCCGAACCACAACGCTGGCAATCTCAACGACAATCACTACATGAGGCACGGTCGAAATTACTTACTTGCGGCCGTTTCGCTACTTAGTTTGAGAGTCCCCTATCGTTTTCCAGCGTTTCCATCCTCTTCCAGGGGTATCGTTTTTTGAGTCTCCCCTATCGTTTGCCACGGATTTGTGCATTTACACAACTTCACATATGCACGGCGGCTCCTACTGGGTCCATTGAAGTGACAGCCTGATAATCTTGCTTTCTACATGTTGGCTTCAGTGGAACACCCTCAAGAAACACATAATGTTTCGGGACCCCAAGAGGGTGATAGGGCTTGCAGGAGAAACCGACAGGAAAGAGTCACTTGGAGGGGTGCCACTAGATATATTAGCCTGAGAACATTTCCAGCTGGGGGGAAGCGGTGCCTTGCCTTTTGGACACATATCTCTTCGAACATCCCATGGCACATCGGCACGCCCCCATCTCCCAGAAATTTTGGGCGCACCATCTGCTGCTGGATGCGGAGCATCAGACCCCGCACTGCCAGCGCCTGACAAAAGAAACTCATCTGACCCAAAACACAAAGAAACCCCCAAGAAACCCCTGCAAAAGACATTTAAACGCCACTTGAGTTTCTGCCTGAAACTCACTAACACCCAAACCCAGTTTCGGCGTCGCTTGTGAAGGGTTCTCCGACTTTCTCAGGGCGAGTTTCACGCGTTTGGCATGCCTCCAAAAGCCCAAACTCCCAAGCTTTGTTGGTGGGCAATCTGGGCAATCAGGTGGTCTGCAAAGGACGCTGGTCACAGAAGGCAATAAGTGGTTTGAGAACCGGAAAAGGGCGGATCCAATTGGCGTGATTCTCGACGTCATGCTTTGTGACTGGCCCCTCGCTGAAGTTCAGACACTGGCAACCTTCTGCATCTAAGGAACGCATCTGTGGAAAAGCTTTCTCTGTTCCAGGGACAGAACCTGGCATGAAAGTCTCAAAATTGCCAGCATAACGCAAACCATTCAGATGCAAACGGACCGACTTGGTAGTTGATACAATCTCTTGGCTAGCACGTTGGAGCCATGCGAGATTCTCCCCAGAATCTGTCGGAAAAATTTGGCTCCCAATGGAGGGGTTCTTCCGCGCACGGATCCTCCTTTTGACGCTTTGGAAATTCCATTCAAAAGCCCCGAGAAACATTCCGGCAAAGACTCGTTGGGCCATTCCTCTCATCCCCCTGCTACTTCCCTCTCTTCCGGGAATCACTTTGGACATGTCCTAAATGTTGAGATCCAACCACCGGCACTGCTCGGAAATCGCTCTAAATTCCGTTGCCAGATCTGGACAAAGCCCCGTCTGGTGGCTCGTGGAAGCACGAGCCGGGGTCCCAAGGTGCCGCCCCCCAAAGCCGCATTCCCCGCAAGCAGGGCGCTGGACCAGCATAGGATGGATGACCCTGAATGATGGGCAGAGTCGGCGCCTTCCTGCGCAAAGCTGGGATTAACTTGGCATTTGAAAGGTCAAACTACAAGCGCCAGCTAAAAAACGCCGAGCTGAACGTTGGCCAAGCCCAATGATTTTTTGCGTGGGTGCTTAGCTGCAAAACGCCGAGCGGAATGCTGGCCAAGCCCAATGATTTTCCGTAGCAGAATGCTTGGGACTGCAACCCAAGGCAAGGATTCACATGTCTCACTCATTCAGGAAATAAGAGGTCGGCGTGCAACAATGGTCTGCAGGGAGTTGACGGACATCGACTCTGAACTGGTCAAACAAAGCGTCCGGTTCACATTCAGATTCAGGGATTGTGTGCAGTCTAGGTGTCTGGGGGGAAGTGTCACAGTCCGGCTGATTTCCGACCTCGCGATTCCGTCTCCTGAACTGGTCGAACTCTTTCTTGATGTTGTGATTCAGCTCCGACAAGAAGATGTTGTACAAAGTCTCCCCCTTTTTCTCCACAAAGGCCTTCACACCTCGAGACAACTCACAGAGACGAGTCAAATCAACCGCTTGGAGGGGTCGATTCAAAACACAGCACATACAAAAAAATAGCTTGGAGGGGTCAATTCCAAAACACAGCACATACATGATGGTCACATGTCCGGCAACGAAAACAGCAAGTTGATACCTGACCTTCTTTCGGCGTTTCTCGGAAAGGCGCCCAAACGCCAAAACGGGGCGTCTCAGTTTCGCTGCGGCACGTTCCCTCTTGGCCAGCTGGTAGAAGCTGTCAAGGACCTGGCAAGCGGTCCTTGGACAGCGATGCGCAAAGGGCTGTGGGCAAATGCGGGGGACATCCATCAGACTCTGTTGCCGTTTTGGGGAAACTCATCAAATTATGAGTTATTTGGCAGCCAGACTGCCAGGTTTTTGACAGCCTAATAAAAATATTGTTTTTGTTGGCAGCTAGGCAACCCAGGTGATCTTGGTGTGCTGCAAAAATAAGGAAAGTTCTTGACAACCTGTGGGACAAATGCATGGCGGAAAGTGCATGAGAAAGCCGGTCTCCAAGCCTTGATTACATGGAAATGCTTGTGCAATGCAATTGAAGCCAGGGCAAATCCTTGAGAATACACATGTTAGGGAGACTTCTGCTCAAGCGGCGCAGTGGGAAGCAGGTTCCAAGAAAAGATTTCATGCACACCTCAGCAGACTTGTTGATTGCAGACAAGCAGATCGGGAAGGAGAGCTCGGATGTATGATGTTGTTTTTGGCTTATCTTGCTTTATATCCGCTTCATCTGCGCGGCATGCTGTTATAGCGGAGGAGGCGAATCTGTTGTGTGTGTGTGCCTCTTCAGTTTGACACCAAGCCTGATCATACTGATTCATGCAAACCACCTGCATAACGCAATGGTCCATCAAGCTATCCGTTGCTTCAGTTCCAATTATTGATGAGTTCCCATTCATGCGAAATATGCAACTTACCCCCGAAATGTCTGCAAATGTCTGCAAATGCTCAACAAAAGATATCTCGTCCTGGTGGTTCTCCCCTGTGGGTACACTGGATTGGTCTGGATACCACACCCCTCGGGCCGAAAAACCGACATGCCCCTGGCGAGTGTCTGAACCGTGCCAACGCCCTCGAACGCGCTATTGATCACCTCAGGTCACCGGATGCGACGTTCGGGACACGACTTCGCACTCAAAAGCACTGGCTGGCCACAGCTCTAAGGTTGCGTTGTACCAGCAATTTTAAGGCCTGGCAAAAGCGTTGAAGCCACCCCTCTGCGGATCGGGAGAGACTTGCTCAAGTGTTTCCAAGTGAGACCTAGCAAATTCGGGGAGCTAAACCGCTTATATCTTGAAGAAGTTGATGGATTCTAGCACATTGAACACCAAGATCAACAAAAAGCCTGGAAGGATACGCACCACCTTTTGGCACTTTTGCAACTCATGATCATATATGTACAGATTCTGGGTTCCAAATGATGCTTAAAGCCACCAAAAGGGGACATCTGCGTGATATCGTGCTCCAACCAGCCAAAAGCTGTCAGTCTGCAAGCCTCCAACACATCAAGGTTCCGGCCTGTGAGTGCATTTGCGTCAGCATATCTATAGAAAAATCCACATCCGCACATAGCGATGCTGAAGCATTTGCTTGCAGCCGGGTCACATTCATGTACATTACCTGCCCAGGGTTGGTTCTCAGGTCATGTGAGTGAGTGACTCTTTGCCCCAGGTTTCCTGCAGCCCAACACAACGAGCTCTCACAGACGGGTTTTGCTTATTTGATCGAAAACAATGGCATAAATGCTAAAGAAACAAGATCAGACGTGGAAGAAAATACTAGAATTCCAGCAAGCCTATCCCAATTTGTTGCCCACTGCGCCTCGAGATCTCTCATTTGATTCTTGAAGGCACCGAAATGGTCCGGCCTCACATGCGGCAAGAATGGAACCTATGAGGAACTTTCAGCCAAGCAAGTTTCCGTCGGAAACCCGAGGGGTCGTGATTTGCCCACGCCGAATGGAGTTGGACGACCAAAAGCCCAGGCCCGACATGCGCTGGCGAGCAACTGCGCACCAGAGACACATGGAATGCCCAGCGGTGGATTGGGCATCCAAACCGTCAGGGGGATGGATCTTGAGGAATACATATTTTATCATCTTATAGAAACTCCATATTTATAACCAAGAAATGTGCTATCATTTCGTCCTAACTTATAAATTCAACATCCAAGAATGACATGCATGACAAAGATGAAGACTGAGAGTTACATTCTAAAGAACTGACCAGGGTGAAATGATCAAAGTTCCCCAGTTGAAAAGGGACCAAGAAACCTTTGTCAGAATCGAGATCCCGCCAAGTCTTTGCTCGTGTCTTACCTGGTGCCCAAGCGGAACGCCCCTTTGAGTCACTTGCACGCTTCTTGCTGCTGAAAAATAAAACTGTATGTGAAGGTGTTCTACATGAGCCCCAGACCAAATTACTTGTTTCACAATGCAGCGGGCGCCCTCATATCCTTGCCAAACCAACGATGCAACTCTGTCTGTGACTCACATGAGCAGTGCCGATTGCAATCGGGGCATCCCATGATGCATGCTCAGCTTTCAGGTATTTGCTCAGTGGCCACTTTGGCGCGCGGACATCCAGGATATCATAGTCCACATAGGGAGGCTGCAAGCGCTGCAAATTCTTCAGGAAGTTCTCCTCGCGCAATGCGACCGAAGGTCGACCGACTGCTTGCTTTTGCCGCAGATTCCTTTTAGGTGGCCGAGATCACTGGCCCGTCCAAGAGCACCCAAACATATTCTATGCCGGCCCTGTCCGGAGGAGGCTCTACCAGGCATTGCTGAGGATGGAGGTCAAAGCCCCATGTTACCATCTTGGTAGAAGACACCACATCAGCAGGATTTGTGCACTCAGGGCGCAACAACCGTTCCACAAAAGAGCTAAAGACCTGCATTTACGATCAAACCTTAGAGCTGTTGCGGAGGATCCATTCGTTTTTGTCCCCTCTTTAAGCACTTTTTTGAAGGACAGAGTCCCAGCCCATTTTGGACAACTTCCAGGTCCCATCAAATGCCTGTGCCCACATGCCCCAGGCTTACCTTGATTACTCAACTGATTCTTGATCACTCAAATTCCCAGCCGGTGTCACAACTCCTTGACTGACCATGCTCTTCCGCCTCTTATGAGTCTGGTCAATGAGAGTGCACATTTTGGCAGCGAGGTGAAACAAGATCACGTGGGCCATGGTCATGGTTTGGCTAAAAGGAGTGATTACATTGTATAGAACACTCACTGAGGGATACATGACCGAGCGTGGAACAAATGTCTCCTCGATCTCGTTGAGCGAGTTGCTAATTTCACCTTAGCCGCTTGCCGATGCACGCTGAAATGCCCTCAGACCACGCAACCTGGCTCGCACTGAAATCGAATTGATGTTTGCAGGCCTCTCTTGCTTGCTTTGTCCTTCAATTGCTTGCGAGTCAGGCAAACATGCCGCCGCATGGTTGCAAAGTGCAACATTCAGGGACCGCGCCAACATTTCATCTGTTCCAATTAAGTGAAAATTCTAGATGCATCATGATTGACCCACATCAAACAAATGCACCCTGATCAGTGATCAGGAGTACACGTCTGTGCCGTTGAGTCGATCAGGAAGCAATGCGGGTGGGACTTGGTTGACTGCATCTTTCATTCTGGGAACTTGCTGATACGACTGGATCCCAGCATATGTTTCACTGGACATCCAGGGGGTGCTTTCGTCGCTGAAGGGTGTTCCAATCAACTGGAACCGATGCGCCAATGTAGCTTTCCATTTGCTAAAGCTCACTGGTAAAAATAATGATATGTCCAGTAGTGCTAAATTCCCTTTAACACCAATAGTGGAAAACAGAACATATTATTAAGCAAATTTAGGTCCTCCTGTAGAGAGGTTAAAATAAGGGTGCCCATTTTCACCCTTTTTCTGTCGTCTATTTTAGTACGGGAACCCTCCCACATAAAAGGGTAAAAGGGCACTACTAGGGGACCTAGAAATGGAAGTAGTCAGAACTAAAACACCCTGAGAACTTGCCGACGTTTCTTTTCACTCACCTCTCAAGTTGCTTCTTAGGCTCCGTGGCTGCAGCCCATCCGGGATCAACCCCCCAAGAACTCACTCATCCATTCGAACACATGAGGCCTTTCTCCCGGGAAAAAAAACACGAAAACAAAAATATATGTGTTGTTCCTTTCACCCACAAAACAGATTGCTCCCCACCCCCGTCACTTCATCAAACCCCCCTTCCTCATGGTGAGAAATGCGTCAAACGCGTCCGCGCCCCGCGTCCGGCGTCCGGCGTCCGGCGCCTGCTTTGGTGCCGCCGAAGGCGGGCATCGCTTGGCCGCGGAAACCTTGGCCCGGCGTCAGGTTTCGCTTCCGCGGCTTTGCCTTATGCCTTCCTTGGCAACACCTGGCTTCCATCTGCTTAAGATGCCCTGGAAAAAACAACAGAAATATGGCCAGTAGTGATAGGCTCCTTTGAAAACCAACAGGGGAGAAAGAAGAAATATTCTTAAGCAAATGGAAGCTTGGGGACGATGTAGATGCATGCCACTCGCAGGTACTGTTCAAACGTTTGTGGAAAGTCAAAGGCCATTGGTCAAGCCAGAACAGAGGATTCATGGACTTTCTACCATCAGGAGGCAAGGAAGTCAAATCCCACCTGCGGATGCGTAAAAATCCTTCTGGTTACGCTGTGCTTTCCATGAGGTCCCAGATTGTCTTCATCCTCCCCCCTCCCCGCGGTTGATTCCCGTTCCGGGGGGCCAACCACTGCGGTTGGCCTCCCCTGTTTTGACCCCAGCTTTTCGGGCGTTTTGCCCAAAAAGGGCGTTGTCTCGCTCCAAATAGACCCAAAAGACGCATGGAACCGATGAAGAAACCGCCATGTGGCGAGAGTCTCTCTGTTTCAGAGTACCCTCAGTCAAGTTCCAACCCTTCCGACACCTTCCGCCCCTTTGGGCTCCAACAAACGTCACGTCGTTGGCGTCCGCATCCAGCGCCCAGGGCCCCGGGCGGCACGCGAACTGCTGCAGGCCCTGGCAGACCTCCAAGAGATCGCAGCAGCGCTGGACAAAGGCGTCGATCTGCAGAAAGATGCTGCCCTCCTGGGAAAGTGTTTGGTCGCTATGTTGAGTTTTTCGGGAACCGGGGCTCGGGTCTCCGCGCTGGGTAGGTGCTATATAGGGAGGTAGGTGGTAGGTGGTATGTGGGGAGGTAGGTAGGTAGGCAGGTGAGTTAGTGAGTTGGTAATTACGGAGTCGAATCGGGTCAAGGGTCTCGGCGCGACCGAGTTGGTTTTGAAATGTTTTGAAGGTTTTGAAGGTGGACAACTTACCAAACAAAAGGGGACTCTAAGTGTGAACCGGAAAGTGAAGGGTGCCAAGTGGGGGGATGCCTGATCTGGATCAGGAATCCGGAATAAGGCACCCTTAGAAGGGAACATCGTTTATAAGGATTTTGGGGACCGATCTTGAATGAACACACCCAGATCCACGATTCCAGTCCCCAGGAAGGGGGACATGGAACCGCAAATGCAATTGAAAAGGGATTGGGCAGGTTGGCAAAAGGGAAGGGGCCCTTGTACTTTTGATACACCATGACATCTCGCTTAATTATCACGCAGGGCATTGTCACTCACAAAGGGTGGTGACAGCAATTTCTGAGAGGGCCCGAAAATGTGCAAACAGCAGCTTCTGCCAAGTGGATGCGAAAGGTGCCACACTCTATAGTCATAAGGTTTCCGAAGGCTTGAATGAAAGCCTTGGCATTGAACTGACTAATTGATTCAATGTTGAACATCTTGCGAGCTCGCCGACATGCTCACCAGCGCACGACCGATGGCCTGGTGCCGTCTTCGTAAAAATGCGACTCGCCTGTGATTTGGGTTGCTTTGTCTAGTTCGTACGCATGATGCGTTCATCGAAGCCCCTGATCTAAATTTGCCGGTTCATTCAGCAACACAAAGTGTCATAACACCTGCACAACCTACAAGATACCAGGTAAGCGTGCTCGCATTCTGGAGGCGCGCAAATTGCAGAAGAATACGAGGTTCGGAAGGCATAAGCAATGTTTACTCACATTCAGTCAACTCTTCTATTCTCCGAATTTGGCAAGGTTCTGCTGAAGCAACAAGGATTCTCGCTCCCACAGCACCCCAAAACCTGAACACTGGGCGTCTGGTTGTAGCATCAAGCCCAAACAGCTTTGAACAGCATATTTTGGCGACCCGGTCAAGGCTTAGATGCGTTACTGCCAACAACGGAAGGGCCCGCCCCGACAGAAAGAACGCACTCCAAGTCTCCGGAAAGTTCCATGGTCGGTCTGTGTTCTTGGACAGGAGCCTCGGACAACTTTGGCCGAGTGACACGTGCGGTATGGAGGCATGAAATCCCTCGCAAGCAGACCTGCGGTAAGGCCACACTTCCAAAGGCCAAACAAATAACTGCAGACTGGCACATCCATCTGGAACCACCACAAGGTTGATAGCTAAAAGGCTCTCCACTCAACCGTCGCTTACTTCCAAATGGTGCCATGATGTGCCTTGCAAAATGCCATGTCTTGCCATGTTCTTGAGGCGTGTCTCAGTTGAGTGCTAGAATTGTAGGCGCCCGGTTGGCTCCGGTGCCATTTAAGCTTGAAGCTCTCCTGGCAAACACCAGCGAAACACACACACACACAAACCAACAACCACACCCTTCACCCTTCTCACCTTCTCACCTTGACACAGAATAACACACGCCTTCTCAACTTCACACACAGGCATTAATTTCAATGCGCTGTTCCTTTGGTGAACATCATTCAGCTATCTCCGCCACTTCTGCGGTACCAGCCATGAAAATTCAAATCCCCCGCGAGTTGCAACGCTTCTTTCCAGCGCCGCCTCGCGCCGCGATGCGAAGAAGCGCGCGCCTCACGGTCTTCTGGTAGGCGCGCTTCCACTCCCGGCCGCAGTCGATGCCTCAGATGCCCAGTGGGTTTCCATGGGAGAAGAAGGGGGGCACCCTTCTTTTGTTTGTTGAGTTGAAAGTTGAGACCCTTACCCCAAAAAAGGAAACGTTTGTTGGGGAACCCTTCCCCCAAACAACGAGTGGAAGAAAAGGGAAGCAAGCCACTGGGCCGAGATGCACTGCTGCAGCTTCACCATGGAGCTCTCCACCTTGCCCGCGAAGATGTCCGAGAGCTCGATGGTGGCCTGGCCTGGGAGCTCTCCGGTCTCCGCAGGTCCCCGAAGCCGACAACGGCCCCCGGGAAAAAAGAGGCAGATTTTTAACTTTTCCTGGGATCCAGACTATCCATATATCATCTTTTCAGATTCCTTGTGGCGAACACTAGATAACTTATGCCCATGGCAGTTCCTTAAGGCTGCCTTGAAGATGATTGGTTCACACCAGAAGTTCATGATAGCCTTCAACGTGATTGGTGCAAATGACAGAAGTTCTGATATCTGACATAGTGGTTCAGGGAACAAACAGAACAAAAACGGTTCATGTCCAAGGGGAAAAGAATTGAACCATCCACATGGGTGCTTCCCCAAGTGCGGCGCTGGCTTCCCCTGAGCGTAGTAAAAGGAGCTGGAAATGTTGACAGAACCTCAATTGCGGTCTGGTAAAACCAGGAGGAGGAAGGGCATGTCAATTTAGAGCAAGACAGGAAGAAAGCACTTAAAGGAACAATATACGCCCAAAGAATGGTTCGGGTGTGTCGTCGGCCCTTGTGCCGTGCCGGCATCACGAGCAAGGTTATTTTTGGAGAAGGAACAACAAATGTTCGTCGCACCTGCGGGCCAAGGAAGGTACTCCCGCCTCGCCCTTCGAAAATGGACAGCTGCAATTAGTTTGCTGGGCTGTCATTCAAGGTATTCGAGGTATGGGGGCCTCTTCTGTTGGGATTGGGTCCTGCTGCTTCGGGGGAAATTAGAACCGAAGACTGGGGCTTCTTCGGACCGCATTCACATGAATCTCCAACGCTTCGCGTCAAAGTTCATTCCGCAGGGCTGGTGGAAGGGGCAACACAATGAGGCGGGGCCGCATGAAAACTTTGCTTCAAGGCTGGCACTGAAAGTGCGCCGGACAAACCAAGCTGAAAAAGGGTTCCTCAAAGGACACAGATCCAAAAAACACCAGCTTTAAAAGGGGATCCTCTAATTCTTGCTGGTAAAGATGGTTGTTTTTTTGTTAGTGCATTCTTTGAAGGACCCTAGGAAAAGGATACCCTCCCAAAACAGAAACCGTTTCATGCGACCAAGGCGCATCTCTTGATGATTTCATTGCTCATCTTCCGCAGGAGTCCCGAGATTCGGTCCTCCTTCTGGTAATGCGTGGAGATGGACCAAATCATACCTAGGAATTCGTCAAAATTGGGGGACGCGAATGGCTGGTTTCGTTTGGTATTGAAACCAACCCCCCCCCCACCCCACCTGTCAACACTTTTGCGGGCCAAGGATAGCCTGCCGATTTTGAACTTTGGGGCGTGAGTCGGGTGCTCCGGAAGCCAAGGAATCCACATCTTGGGCTGCCATGGAGAAAATCCCCGAGTTCCTTTGAAAAGCTTCATGTGAATGTCTAGCAAACGCATTGTTCAGTTCTGAGCCGCACTAGCTGGCCTTGCTGCGCATTGTCACTTGAAGCTGTGGTCTGGGTGCCAGTCCAATCCTTTCCCACTGAAATCCTACTCGCTTGCGACTCGGCGCCATCCTCTAACATGAGTGGGTTGCATACCTTTTGTGAGATTTCAATATGGTGACCGAGGGGATTGCCTTGGTATCGGCACAAATCACTTTTCAGACGCCTGAAATAAGGAGTCCACAAACTAGTAAGGAGTCAGGATCCTTCATCATGAGGGCCTTCAGTTCCTAAAACCAGCACCTTTCTGAGGCCTACGCCTGCCCAGTCTCATGCAGCTTCTCCCGCCACGGCACGTACATAGTTGAGCAGCTCCGGCAGGATGGCGGGGATCTCTGGAGGCGTGGCCGCGGCCAATTTCTCACAAGGCTCCTTCAAAAAGTTCAGGAACCGCAGATTCTCCTGGAGCCGTGGGAAAAAATGAAACCAGGAATTGGGCCGCAGGTTTTAGGCCTTCCACCTAGCTTTGACCCACACCCATGTCCAAGCTGAAACGCCCTCCAGCCTTGGGGTCTCCCTGATTACTTGGAGCGGCTCTCAGCCGGGCTCCGGAAGGTTCCAGACTGAACGTGTTGTCCGAGTTCAGTTCTTGTCTTGTCTTCCTGGTACCTTTTTTGCCTCCGTCCCTTCACCAAAGTTGCTGTACCATTGCGGCTCTCTGTTGCGTCTCTCTTCCGTGGTAATTATAGCACTCCCTCCTGCTGGCCAGCTATGACACCTGGGCATCGGTGTATGTAGAGAAGCTGCTTTCCAAAGCTGATGAATAGTACATCATTGGCTTGCTCGCAGTTCAAGGTATGTTGCGACTCACCAGGAACAGGCACATTTCAAACAACTGATAAGTAGAAAATCGAGAACGCGAAGCCAACATTGTGCATTAGGAACAGCGAGGACTCTTTAATCCGGTGACCGCTGCAAAAGCATGGTGATGCTGATTTTCCAAAAACAGGTTCTGTGGAAAGCACATACACGTTAGGCGCCTGGGTGTTTCGAAAGCAACATCCTTGTGCAACATCTTGAACATAAGACTCACAGTTTCACACGCGCAATCGTTGGCCCGTTGGCAAAACAGGTCCACTTGTTTTCCGCGCTTGATGTAGACAACAGGAATGATGCCAGCACACTCTGCTTTACTCGGTCTTGTCTGCGGCCTAAGTAGTTAAGTGTGTCTATACACGCACGAACTCACTCACTCACGCACGCAGGTAGGTAGGTAGGGGGAAGGTTAGCAGGTTAGCAAGCTAGCTAGTTAGTTAGCTGGTTAGCTGGGTAGTTTAGTAAGGTAGGTAGTCAGGCAGGCAGGCAGGTAGGTTTCATGTATGTATGTATGGATGTATGTATGTATGTATGCATGTCTACACATTTCATGAATAATACATGTGCATACATGTATATTACATGTAGCAGCTGTGATTTGCTACATGGTTAAATG